AGACACAGACGGCGAGGCGTGGGTGTTGACCGCCCGCACCCTCGTGTGCCATGCCGGCCTCCATAGGCGCTCGTTAACAGCACTTGCCCCAACAGTCTGTTAAAGGCTATACGGGGGGGGGGTGGTCTTTGTCTTTGGCTCGTGGTAACTGCTAATGGTTAGCGACCGGTAATGTCTAACTGGGCCATGGGAATCGGGGGGTGATGGTGGGGTGACTCACCGAACACACGCGCGCGCAGGAACCCCTATAGTTCACAACGTGAGAGCTCATTAGCGGTAATGAATGCGGCGGCACACACGGCAGCCAGCGGTGGTCGCGACACGCACGAGGGCGGCATGAAGACCGCTGCGCTGCTGCCACGTGACTCGTTGCCACTGCCACCACCACCACTTTTGCTTTTGACCAATGTCCATGTTCTTTTACACCAAGGCCGTAATTATAATATAAATTGGAGGGGGACGCATGTTTACACATCGCACCAGGTGCTCAAAATGCCCCCCCCCCCTCCCCAATATATTGCTATAAAAATATTTTTTACAAAAATAATTGCTATGCTTTGTAAATAAAAACAACAATTTGCTTAACCTTGGCCACAATATCTGGACTTGTCTTCATGCAACAATGCATAGATTTCTGTTTATATGATTGTGGTTATGGTTGTACTTTATGAATCCCTAATCTCTGCCATTACATACAATGAAACAAGAACAGGTAAAAAAGAAAAAAACAGAGCAATGTAATACAATACACTATTAGACATTATTGTAAAAAATTAATGAAAAGTCCATCCCATGTGTTAGTGAATTTTGTATTTTAGGCAGGAAATTTGTTTTCAAATTTAGATTTTTTTTCTACGGCCTTGTTTTACACATTAGTACCAGGGTCGTCAACCCTTATCTGTTTCATATTTCTGGGGCTGATAGTTTTGCCGTTTGCGCCGTGGTTAATCCGGAGGTGATCTGACCCAGCTGATTTGCGCTGCAGGGAATGTCATATTTAGCTCCGGTTTAACATTGATTTATCTTTGCACTGTGTTTCTGTTCCTCGTGAGATGCAGTGTTTATTTATTTATATATTTTTACGTTTGCCTTTTTGGTGAGCTAGGCCACTCTTGCATATAAGACTCATCGTGGGTCTCACCTGGTTAAAGAAAGTCAACTTATAACCAAAAGACAAAGATCTCCCGTATATCCTTAACAAACTGTTGGGGCAAGTGCTGTAAGTGAGTACCACTTATGAAGGCCGGCACGGCACACGAGTGGGTGGGTGGCCAACACCACGCCCGGCCGCCTTTGTCTCCCCGGCGGCGATGTTTACACGCCGCACCAGGTACTCATTTGAGTCGACCTAAGGAAGGCCCAGGGCCGGTTCAGATAGTCGTCACCGGTGTTGGCCATGAGCAGGAATCGAACTCGGGTCGCCGGGTGCGTAGCGCTAAACGCCACACCACCGCTCCCCACCACCGCGACCACCATCAACAACAACGAATTGCACTGTCGGGGTCAACGCGATGGTTTGGAGCGTCCTGCGGCATTCGATGGTGGGCGACGCAGGGCGGGATGGTTGTTGCCGACCAGCGTCCACGGTGAGAGTGCCGTGCCGGTAGAGATGTGGCCAAGCGATGGTGCGTGGTGGTTAACCGAACTGTGCTGTGAATCCGCCCAAACGGATCAGTGGCAAAGACAAACAACAGGACGTGCCAACAGTGGATTGATAAAAGGGGCTGTAGGTGTAAATATTCAAGGCACGGGGTGTGGAGGTGTTCACTCGTAGTTGCCACCTCTGAGCTGCAAAAAATCTTGGACATATGACGGCAACAATAATATCTCGCAGGAGTAGGACTGAAGGTGGGGAGAACTGCATGTGTAATAGTATGCAGCTGGGAAAACTGGGACTTTGGGAAGACTACAATTTCCCCGGGACATCAGCAGTCGCCTCAACAAATAGGACTATTCTGGGAAAGACCAGAGCAGGTGGCAACCCTGGTGGCCAGTGATATCTGACCAGCACCGCAAATTGACATACTCGTAATTTATTTAAAATGAAGCTGAATTACACTCGGTAGTGTTGGATATACTGGGGTATTTTTTTTTTAAATCACAGTCACTCAGCACAGGCCCAAAGACCCCAAAATGATAAGGGACCAGGAATGGAATAAACAAAACAGCACCATCAAAGTTGTAGAAGACGGGTTCATACGTTTCGTGAATTGGACAACATCACGAGAACATGGACAGAGAGACGAATGGAGGGAATTCCAGAGTGGAGCAGTACGAGGGAAGAGGCAGAAAGATAAGTGTTGTGACCTGCAGTGTGGTCAGTGGGTGAGTGAGTAAGTTTAACATGTAGGCTTTCGCGGCCAAAATCACTTACGCGATCTAACCCAAAAAAATAATAATTCTGTATTATGGATGAGTGAGTTGGCAAGTGAGTCGGTGTGTTGTGACCTGCATTGTGGTGGTGGTTGAACACAGTGTGGACGGGATGAAACACGATTAGCTGCTGGTAGACCAAGTCCTCCATGTAGGTGGAGGAATCAATGAGTGAAGTTCACGGGAACAGTAACCACGGGAATCGGTGAACGATGGATCAACCGTCAACCTGACCGCTTTGTATGCATTGTCCGAATGAGATGATAATTTTGTCACCATAGATGTGACTGTAATATGTGAGCCCAGCATGAACGTATGATCATGTTGAATTAGCATTGGTGCTGGCGTCAGTAGATCCCCATGGCCAGCGAGACCCCATCCAGCAGTGTATTGACAAAACGGCGGTAGCTGTGCACATCATCAGAGATATCTGTCGGAGGGACACGGCTGGAAAACACAGCAGTGTGTGGGTATCTCGGGCAGTTGGACCTGGGTCAAAAACGATGGAATAAAGAGGTGGGAAAACATGGGTTTCAGTGCTTTTGGAAAAAAAACCGCAGCTTAATAATTATATTTTACTCTTTTGAGGATGGCAACAATATGGTTTCAGGAGCAGCTAATTGCCCATGTCAAAGTCTGATAGCCAGGAGAGAGTTCGTGTAGTTTTGCTATTTCTTGCTCTGTTGAAGGAGCACAGACTACAGTGGGTTTACTTGCATGGTCCACAGTTTCGGATTGCGTGGCTACAATTAGGCTGTGGCTTGACTTTTCCATCTCCTGGTGCGTCAGTTGAAGTAACGGGGCGAGGTTCGTGAATCCCCCAACCAGCCTCTGCTCACCGAGCAGTATAAACTTGTTCAACCTGAAAGAATAGAACAAAATTTCCCCGTGAGAGCTCAGTCTAGTGGAGGCCTCTTCCGTCAGTAGTGGCGTCAGCGAGCGTTTTCAGGGCTGCACCTATACCTTTTAATTGAGATGCGAGGGAAAGTTGACCGTTTGGTGACTTACGCCACCGTGCTGTTTGTACGATCTCATTGCGTAATTGGGCTGCTATAAATTTCCACGTGATTAACCATTCGTTGAGCTATCATTTGTGGCCACGTCGCTTCTGAAAAAGTGCTATGTAGCTAAATGGGCCTTACCTGGTAAAATAAGTTTAGTTTAATATACAGCGCCAATTGGTGCATTTGTTATTCAATTGCACTGGAAACTGAAAATAACTTCCTGATTTTTCAGAACCGGTCATCGTTTTATTAAAAAACGGTTACCGGTTTACCAGCGATGGTTTAACAACGCCCTATTTAGGCGTGAGCCGCATTGAAAGTGAATTCGATTAGCAAGGTTGGATACGTACGGTGCCAAAGAAGTTCTACATACACACAGAGCTGTGCTGTGCTGTGCAATGTCCATGGATATGGCTCCTAAGCTGGCTTGACTAATGCGGCCGGCATTGACCCAATTAGATCGCCGCTTTATTTTATTGTCGTTTCCACGATCTGCTTTCTGGTTGTACCGTGCTCTTTTTTTTCTTTCCCCGAGGCGTGATGCCCGAAGTTTCGCGTCACGTGCTGGGAGCTGAAGGATTCCGTTCCCGAAGAAGCCGCCAGCACGTGGAGCGAAACGTCGGGGGTGTCGTGCTGAAGGAGAAACAAAAGTGCGGTACAAGCCGGTCAAAAAAAAAACCCATCCGGGGGGAAGCCACGAGACGCAAACGCGGACGCCATCGCGGTTCCGCGGTTCCTGCCGGCTTGTGAAGCGTGGGCGTTGCCGCCCATCTCCCGGAAACCGAATTAAATTTCAAGGAATGCACAAACACGTGCAAGAAAGAAAGCACTCGGACTTTGTGCATTATGCAACGAACGCCAGCGGTGCCCGTCAGAGAAGTGCATTGTGGGTCTCCAATGCGCTTGTGTTTTTTTCTGGTGCGGGGGCTTTTTGCGATTATATACCGATTTGAATTAACCCGGTTTAAACTGAAGCATGTTTTCGTATTCCTTCTTCTTCGTCTTCTTTGTACGGCCAATGTTGATGGAGAGCAACAGCTTTATATTGACATTGACGTGGTTGAGCCAGATGATTGCGTAAGGAGTAGCGGAGTGGCGCAGCATCGCTGTGACGACGCCTTCTCCTTCGTATTTGCGAATAGGGCATCCAGTCGTTACGCGTTCCGTGGTTGTGTGCTGGGTGGTGACTGTAGTCGCTTGTGCATCAAGTATCCGCACGTGGCGTGGTTCGTTCCGATGCGGTTTACGGTTGCCCATAATCTTTGCGGCAGATTGAAAGCCCAGGGACTGAAGAATTTAGCGTTCTCTGTCCCGCTCGATGGGTAACGGACACCCCCGCGCGTGTGCGGCCAGGGCCTGTCGTGTCAAGGGACATACCACGATGGATCTGAGCTAAAGTTATTTGTCAGAGCGGCTCCATCCTCAGTCGCCCACGCCGCACACCACAATACGTCGAGCCGGGCGCCATCGAGGGAAGCGGCCAAGTTCGAAAATACCCTCGGAATGAACGCAGCAGCCCCACGGTTGATTGATCTATTGAGCGTACACCACCAGCAGCAGCAGCTGCAGCAGCTGTGACGCTGGGTGACAGTGGTGGCATGCGGTTGGCATGGGCCCTGGGGAAAGGAAAGAAATGGGGGGGGCCATAGTCTGCCTTCCCCCCCCCACCCCACCCAGCTCTCTTGCTCTCCATAACCCAGCACCTGGGCAAGTCCTGGACATCTCTGAAAAAGAGCTTTATGTATCATCGGATTCCTCCAGTGTCAAATACAAATACAGATTCTGATTCCGATTCTGAATTGCAGGCTCCAGGGCGCATTGGGCAGAGCTGCGTGCGATTGATTTTGTCCGTGTGTCGCGCGGGAGTAGGCATTGCCTTTCGGGGTTAGGGGGTAAGGATTTAGGGTTGTGGAGGTTTAGGATTAGGGAATAGGATTGGGGCTGAGGGGGGCACGGGTTATGGTTTGAGCCGGCGAGCGAGCGTAGCGTGGCCTGCGCGAGAGCCCCTTTCATCGATGGGGCATGGCGGGCGGGAGAGCGTGTGATGGGTTATGTATTGTGCAGGTATATTTTATAAAAAAAAAAATCATGAATTAATAACGCGCGGGGGGGTGATACCGGAGCTTGAATAATTTACCCCGCTCCGTTATGGCTATGGCGGTAATAGGCTGCGTGGAGGCGAAGCGGCCGTATCGATTCCCACGCGCCCGGCGCTTCTCCCGAACGATCCCGCTCCGCCGTGCGCGCTGCCCGGACGGCGCGGGCAACGTTTTCCTCCACGGTGCCGGACAGGAGGTTGGGCTCGTCGCAAAGCCCATCGATCGGTGCGGTAATGGGAACCGCTTCGAGAGCGTCGCTCGGTGCGGATCAACGCGACGCCTTTCATTCCCGCGGGTCCCTTTGCGTGCCGCCGTGGCGGTGAGTCGCGCTCGGGGTTCCGGCGGTCGCAAATTAATTCGCCAATCGATTCTACGCTTTGCTCCGTCAAGTACTTATTGCCTTGTTTGCACCATTGGGCTCGTGTGCATTGCCCGTCCCCACGTGTTTCGATTGTACCGTCTCGTACGGTTCTGTCTGTCTCGTCTGCACTCTCCCGTCTCGTTTGTACCATCTCTCGCGTGTCTGTTGGTCTCGCATGTTCTGCCAACGCCGTTTGTCTGCTCGGTTGTATTTGTCTACAGGCGCTCGAGCATGTTGTGCGAGTCGCACTTTAATGCACCGTTCCATGCGTGCAGGGATCAATTTCAATCGACGAGTGGACACGTCGTGTTAGCTGAAAGAAAGTTGACTCGGGTGACGAGGAGTTGTCTGTCATAGGAAGAGAGGAAACTCACGCCAACAGAAAGGTGATGAATATGGGGGGGGGGGGGGGTGGCACGTGCCCCCCCAATGATCCGATCGCAATCCCTCATTTCGATCGGATCATTGGGGTTTATTAGTAATAAATCGCCATTTTGCGACCCCCACTGCCACTGTGTAGCATATTATTATGTTCCAGGGACTCTATGAGATGATATGACAATAGTCTGAGTCCATAATTGGCAATAAGTAACGGCAAAGCAGTTATAAGCGACTCACAGAATAGTGCACAGTTGCGTATGCAGCACACGACTTCCCTGAAGGCATCAACACCTTCAGCGAGCGCGATGACGATCACTAACAACGTGGTTCGAATTCGACACCTCGATCGATGGCTGCGTCATCGCCGCACACACGTCGAATGAAAACCAAGGGACGAGTCCTTACTTACTAACAACTCCTTACTAACAACTCCTTACTTACTAACAACTCCTTACTTACTAACAACTCCTTACTTACCAACGACTCCTTACTAACAAGTCCTTACTCACTAACAACTCCTTACTAACAACTCCTTACTTACTAACAACTCCTTACTTACTAACAACTCCTTACTTACTAACAACTCCTTACTCACTAACACCTCCTTACTTACTAACAACTCCTTACTTACTAACAACTCCTTACTTACTAACAACTCCTTACTAACAAGTCCGTGCTTACTAACAAGTCTTTACTTACTAACAACTCCTTACTCACTAACAACTCCTTACTTACTAACAACTCCTTTCTTACTAACAACTCCTTTCTTACTAACAACTCCTTACTTACTAACAACTCCTTACTTACTAACAGCTCCTTACTTACTAACAACTCCTTACTTACTAACTCCTTACTTACTAACAACTCCTTACTTACTAACAACTCCTTACTTACTAACAACTCCTTACTAACAAGTCCGTACTTACTAACAAGTCTTTACTTACTAACAACTCCTCTATCATTTTTCATTGCTGGAGGGGTTGCCCTCCCTACCTGAAAATCCTGGCTCCGCCATTGGGGAAAGAGGGTGGAGAGTGGCAGCGTAGCGGTTAGCACGCTGCGCTACGAACCCGACAACACAAATTCGATTCCCGCTCACGGCCACCAACAGTGACAGATTATCTGAACCGGTACCGGGCCTCCCCTAGGTCGACTCAGCCTTAAAAATAAGTACCCGGTGCGATGTGTAAACCCCTCGTGTGCCGTGCCGGCCTTCACAGGTGCTCGCTAACAGCACTTGCTCCAACAGTCTGTTAAGGCTTCATGGGGGATCTTTGTCTTTGAAGGACTCTGGAGTAGGTGTAGGGGCAATGGCCCAGGAAGGAGCGAGTGGAAGTCGCGCTCCACGTAAATGTCACGAATGAGAAGATGAATCGGATGCATCGTTACACGGCTAAAGATCCACCCTCATCTCTCCCTGCGTCTCGTCCGACTGCCGGTTCGAGCGCACCGCCAGCCACGCGGTTTTGATCTCAAACGACATTCCGCGCGTGGGCGGTGACGTGGCACGCTTGTTGCAGAGCTTCGCGGTCTGAATCCGCCAGGCCGCCCTGGTCAATACCGCGGGGTGCAATCAACCGTGAATACGACGCGCCGTCCGCTTCAGGGGGGGGGGACGTTAAAGATCCCCGAGACGCCACTCGAAGAAGATTGCGCCACGTCTGCCGGCGTCACGGTCTAAAAAAATGTGGCGAATTTTAAGACCTGCCCGCGCGTTATTTTCATCGGGTAAAACTCACGTGGCAAACATCGCCTCCTCCCGTTAAGACTACACTCGCCCGTGAAACACGAGGTACCAATGTTGAACTTCTTTCACGCCGTACGTAGCCAACCGTGCTAATCGGCTGGCTACGCACGGTGATAGCCCTGCGCTGTGAGAACGGCGCGAACGCCAACAGTATGGCGTTATTTTATTATTATTTCTGTTGTTTTTATTAAAAGGGGGCTTCCTCTGCTCCGTGACCCCGGCAAGAATGTTTCCGTCATTCCTCTTTGAGCCACCCCCCCCCCCCCCCCCCCAGGGCCACGACGACATCACGGTGCCGGGTTCAAGCGAACCGCATGGTTCCGCCGTGGTGCTGAGGAGAGGGGGGGCCATGTTGCTGCCGCACGCGCGATGAACTACGACCCCCCCCTCCCCTCCACCGCAACTCGGCTTGACCCCCCCTACAGAGTGATGGGGATTCTCCACGCTAACCCCACCCCCTCCTGTGCTGCGTGCCTCCCCCCCCCCTCCATAATTAAATCTACTCGAGTGACCTTTCTGCTCAGATGGCCTTTTCCGTAAAATAAAATGAGGCCCGAGCAGGAGGGAGGACCGAGTGCTTTTTCAGCCGCCTTTCCGATGCGTAATTGGCAATACCGTTTGTATAATTAATCGCTGGACCACTTTACGTACGTGACGGAGGTCAGTTAGCGGCTGAGCATTTTCGGACGTTTCACTTCTTCACTCATGCGCCCACCTTACGTTTGCTTCCCGTTCGCCGCGGCGTTTGCTCGTGGAATTTCAGACATCCACCACAAGGCTACTCCCAAAGCCGTCCACTAGCTTGATCGCTTGCTCGCTCGCTCACTCATCCGCCCACCTCAACAAGAACTTTGCACAACAATGCTGAGGAACTCCCCACAGTACGAAAGAAGAAGTGTCTAAATTTTGATTTAAAGCTTTCGTGACTGCAGGGATTCATATTCTTGGTTCTTTCGGTAAAGTCACGTAGAAGGGAAACAATAAAATAATAAAAATATGAAACAATAAAATTCTCACGACGTTTCGACTGCAACGCAAGCAATTATCATCACTGCAACACAAGCAATCATCACCTGATGATGATTGCTTGTGTTTCAGTCGAAACGTCGTGAGAATTTTATTGTTTTATATTTTTATTATTTTATTGTTTCCCTTCTACGTGACTTTACCGAAAGAACTAAGAATAAGAAGTGTCCATTTAAGTCTCTGCGTGTCTATGCCAGTCTGTGGGTGTCTGCCAGTCTGTGGGTCGGTCTCTCTATGCGAGTCTATAGGAGTCTATGGGTGTCTGCGAGTCTGTGACTATGTGAGTCTACGGGTGTCTATGCGAGTCTATGAGTCGGTCTCTCTCTATACGAGTCTATTGGTGTCTCTGCGAGACTATGGGCGTCTATGTAAATCTGTAGGTTCTCTCCCACGTGAGTCTATGTCAAACCATGGGTCACATCGTAACGCCACTGCCCGCTTCGATCGTTCGCCGGCAGCATTGCAGGCGTTCCTCACTCCTGAAACCATTCCGCACCTCCGATTAGCACGTTTGGCTACGTACGGTGCAAAAGAAGTCCAACATGCGTGCGTACGTGCGTGATCAACGTACACGCGAATTGCCGATCAACCGCCCCACCGCACCCAACAAGATGACGAGCTTCACACAGCTGACAGCACCCCCTCCCCCACCAGGTCCATTAGCACACTGCATTGCCTCCGTTGGACACTTAATTTCTTGAGTGCATCGCAGAATGGGGGAGGGGGGGGTAGTCGCTGGGGGGGGGGGCGGGCGGTGTTTGGGGGGGGGCGCGCGTGGGCTGAGGCTGGGCTGGCGGGGGGGCGGCTGTGAGCATGACGGAGGGGTTGGGGCAGTCGCTGGGGGGGGGGGGGTGGTGTTTTTTTTTTTGGGGGGGGGGGGGGGCGCGTGGGATGAGGCTGGGCGAGTGGGGGGAGGCTGTGGACATAATGGGATGGTAATGCGCCTTGGCAGCTGCGTGGGGCCCTGTCGGTCGCTGCGAGCAGCGCTCACCGATGGCGATGTGACGCGCACGCGCCTCCGATCGTGGGGGGGGGGGGGGGGGGGGGGGGTTCTTTTAGTGGAGCGGCCCCTCCTGCCAGCGGCCGTGATGCACGGTCGGCTCTTCCCGATCCTCTTTTTTTTTTTGGCTCGTCGCCGTTTCATTGAAGGAAGGCAGTGTTCAATCTTGATGTGAAGCTTTCGTGACTGCAGGAATTCATACTCTTTAGTTCTTTCGGTAAAGTCACGTAGGTAGAAAAAATAATAATAGATCACGACGTTTCGAATTTCGATCGCCACACAAACAACCGTCTTCAGGTCTTCAGGGCTTTATCGCTTGTGTGGCGATCGAAACGTCGTGATCTACGAAGGGTAAAAACGGTCCTCCCCCACTCAACTGAGCTGGCAGTCAGTCCCTCGTTTCTGTTAGCGAGTGGTGAAAATTTAAGCTCGTCTCGCTCGCTATCTCTCTCTCTCTCACGTAGTGTGAACGCTATTCGCTTGTCGAAAGGTGCTCCTCGTTTTATTGATCCCAGAGGGGATGATGGGCCGACTCAACCCCAGACCCGCGCCGAAGCTAACTGTGAGTCGGAGAGCTTGTGCCAAAAATTCTGACTTGGGTTGGGATTTAGTGGCTCGTGATTGCCTGTACATCACTGTACTTAGATTTCCTCCAGACCTAGCGACTGTTTGAATTCCCCCTCCCAGCATGAATTACAACGTTGCACGTCCGACTCGCAGGAAACTGTGCAATAGGCGGATACGTGAAAAGGTCAGCTGTGTGAACGTCTAGAGAAATTGACAGCCACACCACGCACAAGTACTGCTTTGGGTGTGGGTGATTCATTGGTCAGGGCGGATGTGCAGTGGTCAGATATGCTACGCGGTGGACTGTATGAGCTTTATACACAATTAGCTAATTGTAAAATGACGATACTTCACCACGCTGGGCAGTGTGGGTCGGTGAAGGCGGCGATAGCCATGGTAGCGTAGAAGTGCAGAAAAAATGGATTTTCTCGTTCGCAAGTTGGACATACATCGAGTGTTTATTGCATTTGTCAAACTGAACGTTTTAATTCACGGAGAAATAACATTCCAAATGAATGAATAATAAATTTTAATATAATTTTTTTGGGGTTCAATTACTGGTGCATCCTAAACCACATCTGCACAAACCATGGCAGATGCGGATACCTGATGCACAGATGGATCATTTCAATCTCTCCACTGTACGACTATGGTCATCCAGAACAGACCTCTAATGATGTAACGCCCGATCCACAAATACGAAGGAGACATCACGGCGAATTCACTCCGCTGCTCAGAACGCGCTTACCTGGGCTTGACCACCTGAATGTGAAATTGTCGTAGTTGCTCCACATCTACATCAGCCGTTCGACAACAAGAAGAAGAAGACTGATGGGGAATTCAGACCATCAATTCGCTACACTTGGGAACCCAGCTTAATCACGGGCGGCTGAAGCCAGACTTCAATCCCGAGATCTCAGCCGGTGCCGGCTCGGTGCCCTCTGACGTGGAAATTGTCCCCCAGCCACCCAGCCACCTCTCTGCTCCAGCAATTGCCGATGGGGAGATAAAAAAAACATGGCTTCTGCACCTCGAAAAATAAAAAAATGTGTCTCATTATGGTGGATGCTGCGAGAATTTCCAGGTCACAAATTTTAATAACCCTGATTTTATGAGTTTATATTTTAAAATGGGGGGGTGAAATTAAAAACCTGCTTCAAAGTGGATAAAAAAACTATCTCAAATGTCATCAGAAATGCCTCTGAAATTGTTATAAAAAAATTCGGAAACCATAAATATTCGAAATCTTTGCAGAGGGAAAAAAAATCTATCAAAGAGAGAAAGGGGAAAACGTTGGACATGGAGCCAGGGCTTTATTGGGGAAATTTTCAAATAGGCCGAATAGGGCCATGGATGATAGTAATGTCGGCATACCCTATAGCTTCTGCGTTGCGAGGAGAACAACACTCCATTTCGATCAACGAATCGATGGATCGCTACACGCCATAGATCCGCCACCCCAGCGAGCGGGTATCACAGGAGGAATGGCAGGAGTGTGCCCGCTAAACATATCATCGCGCACATTCTAGCAGGAAAACAATGAGTCTATGCACTGCGGACATTTAATTTTGTGCTTAAGTGTTGTATCAGCTGGCGCACTGCAGTGGTTTCGTACCGTACCAGTATGTGTGTGCGCGCGGGACAAACTTCAACACCGTGGTGAAATCTGGCGGTATGGCCTGCGATCGCCTGTTTTAGCGATCACTGTGAATTGATGAGGCTTCACTGGAAATAAAGCTTGATAACCCACGTGCGGATATTTGGTCACGCTTTCCAGTTCTGGTGGACAGAGCTTATTGTGCAATGGCTCTGTCCATTCATCTGTAACTGGGGGAGGTGCCCTGTAGCTTCCGTAAAGATGACTCAATGTGAACCAAATTCTAGTCTAGAGTTGAGTTGCTATTGGGAACTCACCCGATTTGAAAGCCGGCTAAAATTGACCAAAGGGGTTGTCCAAAACTTGGGAGAAATAACCGGAGTAAACAGAGCTATTTGCAAACACGCGCATTTTTTCTTGTGCTGACAGTTTCCACACCGCTAAATCTTTACATCATCCACGTGCAAAGCATGATTTTTTTCCCCCAACTTGTTTTAAAAAATGATTCGCGCCCCTCCGATTAGCACGGTTGGCTGCGTACGGTGTGAAAGAAGTTCAACATAGTACATACATACAACTTGTCAGTGAACTCAGCAAAACTTAAATCATTCACTCAAATACACCCTCCAAAGCTGCTCATTCTCAAGGCAATCCCTATGCATCCCGGACGTTGAACGTCTGTGGGTCGTCTTCTCTCGTACGGCGGTGCGTTGCAGGGGGATGAGCAATCGATTTTTGGAACGGCAACAAACGTTCGAAATTGACGTCTAGGTTCCTTATCCAGCCAGTTTCATGTATTATCTATCGCACATTTGTCGAGGACCACCACAAACTTCTGCCAGGTCGCGCGCCGTGCACCTCGCTGTGTCTGATCATTTTCTGCCGTTGTCTTTTCGTTTGCGGTCGCAGAACGAGTCGAGGATCCTGCGAGTGAAGGTGGTGTCTGGAGTCGACTTGGCTAAGAAAGACATTTTCGGTGCCAGGTGAGGTCGCGTGTCTGCCCCGCGGCGGCGAAACGACGCGTGCCAACGCGACGACGCTCGAGTGTCGTTGTGTCGCGCGCTGTCCCGCGCGATGCCCGACGTTTCGCTCCACGTGCTTGGGCCCTCTTCAGGAACTGAACTGAGCTCAATTCCGAAGGGTTACTACTAGCCGGAGACACATCGGTGAGCTACGCAGCACATCGGCGAAAAACGCACGCGGTAGCATTTCTCGGCAAACGTTTTAAGCGTGGTGCTGCGTCGGGAAGTTGGACCGTTGCCATGTCGCGAGTTTCTCGCATGTGGAAGGAAACCCCACAGTGGCCAGGGAAACCCGCAGCGTACGATGGAGCAACACTCAAAAAAAGCTACGCATCGATAGCTTCTCGAGGAACTGAATTCTAAATTTGAGCTGCTGGAAAAAGCTCCCAGCCACGTGGAGTGAAACAGAGGCGGGCCCGATACACTTCCCACGGGTTGGGCATTGCGACTTAACAGACACGCGACGCGACACGAAAGCCCATTGGCAAAAAACCCCACATGGCGAGTCTGTTGGCTCGACGTGTATAATCAGTGTATAATAATAATCATTAAATATTCAACTCTTTGTCAATGCGACATGTGATCTCCCACACACCAAAGATCCTTGTATAACCTTAACAGACTGTTGGAGCAAGTGCTGTTAGCGAACACCTATGCAGACTGGCACGGCACACGAATGGGGACCGTGGCCAGCACCGTGTCCGGCCACCTTTGTCTCCCTCGTGGAGACGTTTACACACCGCACCAGGTACTCGTATGAGGCTGAGTAGACCTAGGGGAGGCCCAGGACCGGTTCCGATAATCGTCACCGGCGTCGGCTGTGAGCGGCAATCGAACTCCGGGCTTCGTAGCGCAGCGTAGCGCTAAACCACTGCGCTACCGCTCCCCACACACACCACGCGGCCGATAAATCCGCTGGACAACTCTGCCAGAGACTCGAGACAACAACAACAGCATCGCCCACGGCCCTCGGGCTTCACAGCTCTTCCAGTCTCGCGCAGCTCCACGTAGCAGGGCACTCTCTGCACGCCCGGCGAAGTGAGGAGGCGCTCTCTGCTCGACCGAATGCGAGTGGTGGGGCGGCCGTGCGGCGCCCCCCCCCCCCCCCCCCCCCCCCCGGTGTTTTGACCGTCGGGGCCTCCTCGGATAGAAGGCCCGCCTGCTGGTGCTGGGGCACGAAGGGAACACGTTGTGGGGTGACGTGGGCCGAGCGGAAGAGCCGTTCGCCCGCTTGTTGCCCAGGGTTCACGGTTCGAGTCCGGCAGGCCGCCCTGGTTATTATTGACCGTAAAACGCTACGCGCCGTCTGCTTCACCGCGGACGTTAGAGATCCCCCGAGGTAATTCGAAATGGAAAGGGCATTTTGTGCCGGTGTCATGGTCCAATTTTGCCAAATTCAAAGAATTACATTGCAAAGAACTCAATTGGGATCGCACGCAGCAGCTTTTGGCTCGTCATCGAATAAAGACGGTCACTGCAACGCACGCCTTGAGATGCGATTCTGCCGTCGTCTTGAATGCTCTTCCTTCTGATATTAGGAAGCCACTGGAGCTACAGTGAGGGAAAAAAAGTATATGATCCCCTGTTGATTTTGTACGTTTGCCCACTGACAAAGAAATGATCATATCTGGTAGCCAATTACAAAAAAACGTCTGACCTCTGTGATTGCCAACAAGGTTTTTGCCACCATGTACTAAGTCATGCTTTGCAGAGGGGTCAAATACTTATTTCCCTCATTAAAATGCAAATAAATTTTAATGGTAGGTTTATTTGAACAGTGAGAGACAGAATAACAACAACAAAAAATCCAGAAAAACGCATGTCAAAAATGTTATAAATTGATTTGCATTTTAATGAGGGAAATAAGTATTTGACCCCTCTGGAAAACATGACTTAGTACTTGGTGGCAAAACCCTTGTTGGCAATCACAGAGGTCAGACGTTTTTTTGTAGTTGGCTACCAGATTTGCACACATCTCACGAGGGATTTTGTCCCACTCCTCTTTGCAGATCTTCTCCAAGACATTAAGGTTTCGAGGCTGACGTTTGGCAACTCGAACCTTCAGCTCCCTCCACATATTTTCTATGGGATTAAGGTCTGGAGACTGGCTAGACCACTTCAGGACCTTAATGTGCTTCTTCTTGAGCAACTCCTTTGTTGCCTTGGCCGTGTGTTTTGGGTCATTGTCATGCTGGAATACCCATCCACGACCCATTTTCAATGCCCTGGCTGATGGAAGGATGTTATCACCCAAGACTTGACGGTACATGGCCCCGTCCATCGTCCCTTTGATGCGGTGAAGTTGTCCTGTCCCCTTAGCAGAAAAACACCCCCAAAGCATAATGTTTCCACCTCCATGTTTGACGGTGGGGATGGTGTTCTTGGGGTCATAGGCAGCATTTCTCCTCCTCCAAACACGGCGAGTTGAGTTGATGCCAAAGAGCTCCATTTTGGTCTCATCTGACCACAACACTTTCACCCAGTTGTCCTCTGAATTATTAAGATGTTCATTGGCAAACTTCAGATGGGCATGTATATATGCTTTCTTGAGCAGGGGGACCTTGTGGGCACTGCAGGATTTCAGTCCTTCACAGCGTAGTGTGTTACTAATTGTTTTCTTGGTGACTATGGCCCCAGCTGCCTTGAGATCATTGACACGATCCTCCCGTGTAGTTCTGGGCTGATTCCTCACCGTTCTCATGATCATTGCAACTCCACGAGGTGAGATCTTGCATGGAGCCCCAGGCTGAGGGAGATTGACAGTTCTTTTTGTTTCTTCAATTTGCGAATAATCGCACCAACTGTTGTCACCTTCTCACCAAGCTGCTTGGCAATGGTCTTGTAGCCCATTCCAGCCTTGTGTAGGTCTACAATCTTGTCCCTGACATTCTTGGAGAGCTCTTTGTTCTTGGCCATGGTGGAGACTTTGGAATCTGATTGATTGATTGCTTCTGTGAACAGGTGTCTTTTATACAGGTAACACAATGAGGTTAGGAGCACTCCCTTTAAGAGTGTGCTCCTAATCTCAGCTCGTTACCTGTATAAAAGACACCTGGGAGCCAGAAATCTTTCTGATTGAGAGGGGGTCAAATACTTATTTCCCTCATTAAAATGCAAATCAATTTATAACATTTTTGACATGCGTTTTTCTGGATTTTTGTTGTTGTTATTCTGTCTCTCACTGTTCAAATAAACCTACCATTAAAATTATAGACTGATCATTTCTTTGTCAGTGGGCAAACGTACAAAATCAGCAGGGGATCAAATATTTTTTTCCCTCACTGTATGCACTTTTAAATCTAGATTGAAAACTAATTTCATTCGAACATTTTTGCGTGTGTTGAGTTTCTAGTTCTTCCCACGCACCTCTGATTAGAACGGTTGGCTACGTACGGTGCGAAAGAAGTTCCACGTACATACATAGACTCACATAGTCACTCACCCACTAAAATAGTCACTCACCCACACACTCGCACATCCTACGATTAGCATGCTTGGATACGTACGGTGCGAAAGAAGTTCATCGTATGTATATACATAGACTCACATAGTCACTCACCCACACACTCGCCCATCCTACGATTATCACGGTTGGCTACGTACGGTGTGAAAGAAGTTCAACGTACGTACGTACATGATCTCAGCATTGCCAGCTCAGTGCTCTGGCCCACTGGGCTACTGGGGACACCTTTGAAATGCGACAGACTCGGGCTACACACAAACACTTAGCCATTGGATCCTTCAGTAGGAAAAATCTGTTTACCCGACACGACGCTGTTTATTTTTGTAGAACGCGTGCCGATGAGCATGGGCGTGAGTTGGTTTTCACGAGTGAAATAAAACCAGTTTTGATTTAAAGCTTTCGTGACTGCAGTAATTCATATTCTTAGTTTTTTCGGTAAAGTCACGTTGAAGAGAAACAACAAAATAACAAAATAAATTTATGCAAACCGACACACCTGATGATGACCGTTTGAGTTATGGTCGAAACGTCGTGAGAATTTTTTATTGTTTTATATATATTTTGTTATTTTGTTGTTTCTCTTCAACGTGACTTTACCGAAAAAACTAAGAATATAAAAACCAGTTTTTTCAGAGGGGTTTCATTGGAATGTTTTTGACAGTTGAAAATTGGACTCGCGGTAAAAGATGACCCCAGGTTCACGGGGTGAAACCCTGCAGGTCCTGCATTTGTGCTTTGTTTTTCTGGGTCCACCATAAAACAACAACAACGAAAAAACACAAACCAGTTGGCTCCAAAGTGATAAAATGCAGAAACAACGCAAACCTTTCATACGTGACAGGGCGATCGCATGCTAACTCGTCTTCATCAGCCATGGTCAATCGACTGCTGGATGAAGGCATCGCCCAAAAGCCGCCGCCGCCACCTCTCACGATCCCACGATGCATCAATCCACCCAGCAGCTGCACACGATCAGATTGTATCGTCCTTCCATCTCCCTAGGGGACGCGGCCTCTCGGATGCCACGTTCCATTCCTTGGCTGACACTCCTTCACTCGTCTTGACCGCCCGCCATTATCCTTTCTAAACAATTTTTATTTTACCAGGTAGTTATTTTTCAGAAGCGACCTTGCCATCACAAATGATAGCTCAATGATGTTGGCTTATCGTGTGGAAATTTAAAGCAGCCAAATACTCTAAACGCGTGATGATGTTGGTTTTTAAATGTGGAGGGAAAAACCAAAGAACCCGCAAGCTGTAAATATACAGGATGCATCAGGGTAGGGATCGAACCCACAACCTCCTGTATACCAGGCGAGGTAGTTAACATCTCCTAGCCACCGTAGTGAGTTATCCACCCACGTTCACTTATTTTTCTGAACAATTTTAATGATCTGAAACCTGTGGAGGTAATACTTTAACTCACGAGATCCTCTTGCCGCCTCTTCAATGCAATTCCAGACACGATGATTGTCTTCTTGGTATTTTCAACGCACGC